TAGATGAATTAGTGCTATGAATACATACATTCTGTGTCAAGACAATAACAAATTCCTTTTGCAATGCCATTTCTACGTTATTCTTCCTCCCCCTCATTCTCTTAACCATATTTACAACAGCCTTTCACTGAAACTTCAGCAATATTGCATTTTTCTGGCAGCAAGATACAACCTATCTATCCAACTCAATTGTAAATAAAACCAACTTCTTTTTAATAAGAAGTTAACTGTTTCTTAAAGCTTGTTGTATGGCCAGCGCCGCAGCTCAATAGGCTAATCCTCTGCCTGCGGCGCAGGCACACCGAGTTCTAGTCCCGGTCGGGGCACCAGATTCTGTCCCAGTTGCCCCTCTTCCAGGCCAGCTCTCTGCTGTGGCCAGGCAGTGCAGTGGAGGATGGCCCAAGTCCTTGGGCCATGGACCCCATGGGAGACCAGGAGAGGCACCTGGCTCCTGGCTTCGGATCAGAGCACAGGCTGCAGCAGCCATTGGAGGGTGAACCAACGGTAAAGGAAGATCTTTCTCTTTGTCTCTCTCTCACTGTCCACTCTGCCTGTCAGAAAAAGAAAACAAAAAATCTTGTTTTAACCAGAAATTTTTTTAAGAACTCCAGATACTTTTTTGTGCCACAGAGGGCTCATCCGGCTCCATGCACAGGACAGAGGGACTGTATATGTGGTGTTGCTTCCACTGCTGCAGATGTCACCATTGAACACTAGCTCTGCACAGCCTGAGAGATCCGTGTCTGTCTCTGAAGATATTGTTGTCTCTGATTGCACTGCCAGGACTGACATGGTTGAATCCTATGCTTCTATTCTGATAGTTCACAATCATAAATTTTTAACACCATCATGATGCGAGCCTGAGTAGCTAAACCAAGTTGTCAGTAGCTTCAGCCTCAATGAGATGAAATGCCAGAACTAGTCTCTCTCCAGAAAAGTTGATTCTGACGTCTACTGTTGGACCATTTTTGTTGTTTTTGTTGCTATAATGGAGCAGTAAAATGTGGAGATCCTTACTCTGCCCTTTCCATTGGTGTCCATATTATTTCTTAAAGACAGATTCCGACAGTGGGAGTACTAGATGGAAGACGAGAATCTAGAACGATAGATATCTCAAGGTGTGAACACAGTATGTGCATACAACTGTGTGTGTGTCTGTTTTGTGCGTGTGAACTGGAATTGTCTTCCAGAAGGATGAGCAAATGTATAACCGTAACTCCGTGAAGGCAGTGCTCACCAAGTATTCTGACAGTCCTATGGGTATGGCCATGTAAATTATACTTTGTTTAATACATGGAGAACATGCTGCCCATAATATGAAGCCACGTGGATATCACAGCTCACTGTCTTTTTCTACCTTTGAAAGATGCTACATGACTAGATTGCTGTTTCCTTCCTCATCAAACTATGGGAATTTTTTATTTAATTTTTTTTAAATCTATATAAATGGAACACATTTCACGTATCTCCTACATACCATTTTAAGAAACTAATGACACTTCACACCCCATCCTCCTCCCTCCCTCATTCCCACCCTTCCTGAAATATAAATAAATAAATAAATAAATATATATATATATATTTGTTTTTGAGAAGCAGAGTGATGAGAGAGAGCTCCCAGCTGTTGGTTCACTCCCACGTGCCCCAGACATCTCCAGAGTCATCGCTGCTGCCTTCCAGGGCCCACATTAGAAGGAAGGAAGCTGTGGTCTAGACTCAGAGTCAGAGGTCACACCCAGGCACACAGGATTTAGGATTGCAACTTACCTGCTAGGCTGAATACCTGCACCAGCACAACACATTAAAGCACAACTCGGTCATAAGGTCTAAGTTGTTAGTAATACTTGTTTTCTAGCAACATCTTTTCCCCTTAATCAACGAAATTCGTAAATGAAGTATGGCTGCAATATCATGAGCTTATTTTTCCAACACCGATTTTTTAAAATAAATTGCTCTATTCAGACTGACAAAAAATAGTTATAAGATCTCCTTATATTCACATTTCTGTAAATGGAAAATGAACTGTTTTGCCCAGAATTAACTTAGAAGTCACAAATAAGTTTTTTTAGCAGTTGCAATTCATACTGGTTTTATTTTATTTTCTCTTCCTCAAACTTATCAGATCAAAGTATATTTGTTAACTTGATGTATATCTTGTATACCTACAAATCATCTTATACAAGGAGTTTTCAAAAGTTCATGCAATATATGTACTATGAAAAAATGATGTATGGGTATCAAAATTTTATGCAAAATAAATTTATCTTTCCACCTCATTTTTCCACAAACATTTTGAAGTCTCCTCATTTTTGGTGCAGCTGTGATGAGGACAAAGAGAGTAGTTATATTTGTGGGAACAAATTACCAGCACCAGTGTAACCCAGAAGGCCACATTCTGCTAGGGCGAGAGCCTGATGGAATACATGGAGGTAGGGGATCACTTCCAGGTAATTACCCTGTATAACTAGGAAGTTCCTCAAATCTCCAGCAACCAATACCACCCCTGGTGCCCTTTCTCCTCTTACCTGAGCACTCTGGACTCTTTAACGAATTTGTACTAATAAAAAGGAGCTACTGAGTAAAGCCACATACCAGCAATTCATTTCTTTCAAGGTAAAGTGATGAGAGAACTTGTTATTGTGAATCTCATTCTCAAAAACAAAGACCAGTTGTTAACAACAAGAAACATAGGAGAATATAACTTTGTCATTTTGGAATTCATGATACTGGTGAAGGCAAACTGCCACCCAAATTGATCACATTTCAGAAGTTCAGAGAAGAGTTGACACCCTGGATTTAAAAGCAAACTGAGAAGCATGGAAAAAGACTTTGAGCTGTAATTCTGGCTTGCATGTTTAGACAGTCTTGAGCAGAAATAAGAGAAAGCATCCAAGTGAATGCCAGTGTACACAGAATTTCTCAGCAAACTTAGGCTTAAGCAATCATAGGCAAAAGGTCTGTAATAAGTAGTAAATAAGAGGCCGGCGCCGCGGCTCACTAGGCTAATCCTCCACCTTGCGGCACCGGCACACCGGGTTCTAGTCCCGGTCGGGGTGCCGGATTCTGTCCCAGTTGCCCCTCTTCCAGGACAGCTCTCTGCTGTGGCCCGGGAGTGCAGTGGAGGATGGCCCAAGTGCTTGGGCCCTGCACCCCATGGGAGACCAGGAGAAGTACCTGGCTCCTGCCTTCAGATCAGCGCGGTGCGCCGGCCGTGGCGGCCATTGGAGGGTGAACCAACAGCAAAGGAAGACCTTTCTCTCTGTCTCTCTCTCTCACTGTCCACTCTGCCTGTCAAAAAAAAAAAAAAAAGTAGTAAATAAGAGATGGTTAAGAAGAATGACAGAGAAGAAGGCCATGGGAAAACACTAAAGAAATTCAGGTAGCAGTGGGAGACTTTGGCTCTGAGAAGGCATAGTCACTCACAAAAAAAAAAGGGTCCCCAAGGACAACAAGTAACATTGCATAATACAATTTTTTTTTTTTTGTTTAAGGAGAGTGGACAGTGAGAGAGAGAGACAGAGAGAAAGGTCTTTTCTTTGCCGTTGGTTCAGCCTCCAATGGCCACCGCGGCCGGTGCACCGCGCTGATCCGAAGGCAGGAGCTAGGTGCTTCTCCTGGTCTCCCATGGGGTGCAGGGCCCAAGGACCCAGGCCATCCTCCACTGCCCTCCCGGGCCACAGCAGAGAGCTGGACCGCAAGAGGGGCAACCGGGACAGAATCCGGCACCCTGACCGGGACTAGAACCCGGTGTGCCGGCGCCGCAAGGCGGAGGATTAGCCTAGTGAGCCGCGGCGCCGGCTAACTGCTTAGCTTTATATGTCAAATGCCTAACCTACTTCTGCTGAATCCCACAGGATATTTATTAACTCTTGTAAATGGGAATTACTATAGCAATTCTCACAGGGCTGAAGTCGGGATTTCAAGCGAGGTAACGAATCTCCTCTCTCTGTCTCTCCCTCTTGGCTATGTCCGTTCCATTCTCGAGAATGTTTTCCACGTACGATGTTGTCATTCCCATTACTCATTGTCTTGGAAGGTTTCCTTGCCCAGCATCCAGTAATCCAGAAGGTACCTTTTTCTTTAGCTGCTGTCCCTGAAGACAGCCTATGATGAGCTGGCTGTGTGATGTGCAGGCTCCCTGGGTGATGGAAGAGTCGTTCTAGAAAGAGCACCTGACTTCAACAACCAAAGAAAACCTTGTCGGGTCACAGATGTCTTCTTTTCTATCTGTAGAAATACATCCCTTTTCCAATTTACTTGTGGATGCGGTGTCCTACTTTCTCATCTGCAGGGCCTCCAGGTCAAGAGGTCATAAGTTCTGGGGAAAAACAAACCTTCGGCAAGAGGTTTGGAAATGTCAGATACCTTCAGGATGCTGGAGAGACACATGAAGTCAATGAAGTTAGTGATTATTATAAACGGCCCAAGAATAAACCCAAACTGTGTGTGACAAATGAAACAGGATGTTGGTGTGGTTGCTAGTTGTGCTCTGCCTTGTGTATATAGAAGGCTTCTCTAGGGACAGTGACTTCCTACTAAAAGGAATGCTGCTCTGTGTGTTCCCCTGACAGGGTTTGTTTTCTATGCTTTGTGTAAAACAAACGTTATTAAAGACAAAATAGAAAATCCTAGACTTGTTTTTGATTTCGACAATTTGGATTTCAACAGGATTAGAAAAGTTTGCCTTTAAAGCATATTTTAATTGCTAATTATGACCCTGTGTTCTGTTTTACTAAATATGTTTACATAAGCATTATATTTTGGTAGGGTTATAATAAAACTATTGTAAAGGTCAGAAATGAAATGGATCCATAAACCTCAATCATGAGCTTCTGTTAAACTGTGGGATTAGGATAATATGACATTTCAGAGGATTTCCAAGCTATAGTTTCTTCCAGGGTTGGGAAACAGGAAACAAATAACAGCTTTTGTCCATTCCTCTTACATTTCTTTCAAACATGGTAAGTTAAACGTCTTCCCATTTTATTGCAACTTTTCAGGTGTTTGGTGATATTGGTGGCTTGAAGTTGGTCCAAAGGGAAGTGATCACAGCTATTCAGGAGCGTATAAGTGAAATGGACACTGTATTGGGAGATGCATTTGATATAAAACCAGGAGACATGCAAAGAATGCCTTATAATAAACCAGGTAGGTTTTCCATTGCTTGAATATTTAACTCATTGCTATAAATGAGTGCACCCACTAAGAAGGAGTCACTGAAAGTGACTTCCTTATTGACTTCCAAAGGCTCTCCCCATGGTGCACAACTCAGAGGGAGAAGACTGAATTCGCCTTCCTGTTCAGCCCTACTGCCTCATGTGTGCGGTTAACTAAAAGTCTGTTTGGGTGTTAGAAAAAAGAGAAGTCAGGATCCTCACAAATACCTTTTCAGAGAGAATCAAAATCACCATCTTTGCTTAGAAAGAGACAGTTGGTGACTCTGGAGTTCAAAGAGGGACAGAATGTCATTTCTAGTATCCTTGTTGCTGGTAGTCTTCGATATGGAGGGAATGAAGGGAGTAGCTAAAGGGTAAGACTATGTCTATAGAAACTGCTTTATCCCTTCATTTATCTGGGAGTTTTCACTTTTTTTTTTTGCTATAAGAAACTATGAGGAAAAAAATGGAAAAAAATAAATAAAAACAAGAAGACGTCAAATCACTAAAGTGAGTTGGTTTTCAGAGCATACATCCTGTATTCTAAGATAGCCACGACAAAGCCCAGGTTGGCTGCCTCTGAGTTGGGCTCTTTGCATTCACCTCAACCCTTGCTAATAGGGACAAAGGAACAGATCCCACTTCCCAGTTCTGATAGAATCCCTTTTACTCTTTGTTTCCTTACTCTCATCTCTTTCAACTGGTGGTTTGGAATAGGATCTATGATTAAAAATGGACAATGAAGTATCAGAAGTATGATGGATCATAAAAGTCCAGCATCATTATGAGTCTTTTTTCTTCAGTAAAAACCAATAAATGACATGGGTTCTAGGCCCTCTGATCCTCCCTGGCTACTTAGGCCAGGACGAGCGAAAGTATTTTTAGCCACAGCTCTCAAACAGAAAGCAGTGCTTAGGAGAGGCTCAAAATTGATACTTAGAATCAGAAATCATGTAAACACATAATCCTGGTGACTTCTTTGATCTTCAGTTTTAATCATCGTGTCACTATTAGGATATCATCAGTTTTTCATAGGGAATTCACGTTCAAGTGTACAGGATGTGTTGCCTTTGTTAGTATGAATTAACATGTGTATAAACTCTCTGTTTTTATCTTCTACGGCTATTTTTGAAATACATTAATATAAGAGTACCTCAAAAAGTTTTTGGAAAACTGGAATGAAAAGATCAGTTTGTTGTGGTGCAAAAAATTAAAATCATCTGTGCATTATTTTTTTCGCAATATAGATTTTCCATGAACTTTTTGAAGTTCCCTCATTCATCTATTATCAGATCTGAATTTCATGGAAATAAGCATTCTAAGTGTGTTTTAATTGTATTGCACCTGTTTATCATAGTCAAATAGAATCTTCCTTCAGATACTTAAATTTCACTCCCATTGACATCCTTTCTCACCCCATTCTTTCAAATATAATTACCCATAGCTCTAGTCATCAGATATTTACCTTCATTTTCACTTAATAGCTTAGTATGCTAATTACACGTTTTTACTTTTTCCATGAGAGCATGTGTTACCTCTGGACAGAAATTTTTTTAAATGTATCTTCCTATTAATAGAACTGAAATAGTGCATGGTAATATGCTGCGGCTCAATAAACATTCACTGTTGGAAAAGTGACGGAGGGAGATGTGGAGGTGGGACTGGGGCACCTCATTTGTAGTGTAAGAAAGACTAACCAAACGAACAAAATCTTAGTGACAAACATATTAACGCAGATTCTATGACAGGCCTGTATCATCACAAAATATTCTGAGAAGGAATAATAAATGTGTACTTTTGAGTAGATTTCTGAATCTGAAGTTGTAGCTTATTTAGATTATTAGGTCACATTGACAAACCACATTAAGTTGGAAAAGCGTTTTTTCAGTGAACAGCTATTTGCTTAGCATTTAATATAAATATCTGCTAATTTCATACATCTGTTCATTTCTGTTTATAGTTCCCCATTTGATTCAAGCCCTGTGAGGACAAGAATCAATGTCCATTTTATTTACTGTTTTGCCACCAGTTCCTAATATTGTCCTTTGAACCACTATCTGCTCAGCACATATTTTTTATTTGACAGATGGAGTTAGACAGTGAGAGAGAGAGACAGAGAGAAAGGTCTTTCTTTTGGTGGTTCACCCCCCAAATGGCCTCTATTGCCGGAGCTACGCCGATCCAAAGCCAGGAGCCAGGTGCCTCCTCCTGGTCTCCCATGCAAATGCAGGGACCCAAGCACCTGGGCCATCCTCCACTGCCCTCCTGGGCCACAGCAGAGAGCTGGACTGGAAGAGGAGCAACCGGGACTAGAACCTGGGGCCCATACGGGATGCTGGCGCCGCAGGTGGAGGATTAACCAAGTGAGCCATGGCACTGGCCCCTGCTCAGTACATTTTTTAAAAGACAATTACATTTTTATTTGAGAGGCCAATAAAGACAGAGAGATTCCATCAGCTGGTTCACTGTCTAAATGCCCACAATGGCCAAGAATGGACTGGGGCTCAAGCCAGGAGCTAGGAAGTCAGTCCAAATTTTCTATGCATGTGGCAGAAACCCAGCTATTCAGTCATCATTGCTCTCTCCCTTAGCAGAAAGTCAGAGTCAGGGGCCAAGGCAGGGATTAGACCCAGGTATGTCCATGTGGGACTGGGTATCCTAGCCATGATCTTAACCTCTGGGCTATACATACATCTGCCATACTCAGTACATTTTTGGTGGATAAAAAAAAAAAAATGGATGACAGTGTATTGACTGAACAATCAATCAATACTTTTTTTCCTTTTTCATGTTTCCTTTAGAAATTGGCAGCCCAAAGGAAAGACGAGTATAAAAGAGAAAAAACTCCTGAAGAATGACCATGGCCACAACATATTCTATAAGACAAGCCACCTGCTAATACATTATTGCAAAGCATGAGTTGTTCAATACCTGACAGCACAAGTCTGCAGACTGCTTTGTTGCTGTTGTTTCATATTTGTTTTCCCTGCCGTTGAACACACTTCACTGAACATTAAGTAGTAAGCAATAGGTTCAACATTTGAGTTTATCTAGAGCTTTTGTCACATTATGTATTGTATGGGGGTGTGGTGAATAGGGGTTTGCTGAGGTTTTCCCACGAATTCTCTTTTGGTGTAAAGAGCTTTTCTGATATTCAGTGGCTCAGTGCCAGCTCCCAGTCCAACTCTGAAATGAGATTGTTGTGTTGTCTACTTCAGAAGGAAGTGCTACATTTGCACTGGGATCAAAAGAACCTTTTCAGTCTGAACTTTTCTGGATGTAGATGTACAGTGAGATTTTAAAGGAAAACAGAGGGAAAAAGGAACTTTTTAATTCTTATTAATTCCTCCTATTTTCTGTGACCCTTTATGGACCAGAAATAATAATTCTGTGAAAATGTCTTGATGAGGATAGTTTTTACAATCAGACTGTTTGCAAGAGCCTTGAATATTAATAGAGGCACCAGCATAAAATTCCTTTAAGTAGTAAACATTTATTTACACAGTATGAAACCGTACCCAAAATTCAAGATAAGTTTCTGGGACATTAAAATCTGCCAATTTAGTCATCAGTGTTCTTCATGTGGTAAAGATAACTTATAGTACTAATAATTATCTTCCAAAAATCTACTAGTAATACGATATCTGTAAACTCATGCATCTTTCTCAATCATTTCATTGGTAGCTTCATATCTAGTACTATATTTGGTTACTAATTGACTTTCTCATTCATAATGATATTTTCCCATTTAGAAAACATGTAATAAAAATATGACTGCAATGGAAAACCTTAAATAAAAATTACTTTCATAGATCATTTTGTAAGTAGCTACTGTGTTCTTATTTCCCAAATAGGTTATTCATGTGAAACTCTATTATATAAAGAATAAAAATATAAATAAGAATTAAAAATTTACATGCTGCTATACATTTTAAAGTGAAATCTATTAAATGTTCTTTGTATTAACTTCAGTGACAATAGATAGATTACACTAAGTGTCAGTTAAGCAATGGATGAAAAATGAGTGATTTTCATCATTCAGTTAAATATGGTGCTAAGTGGTATGTGCTAGCATTAAAAGCAAATTACTTATCACTTCAACAATCACAGCATGAAAGCATCCAGTGTTCCTTGGTTCTCAATTTTATTAAATAAATCAACTGATAATGCTTGGATAAGCAGAAGACAAAGGCTTCATGACATTATGGTGTTTCTGTTCCATAAATACATAATCAAGATACATCTAAAAAATCTTTATATATATATATAATAAAACATTTTATATTTTCTTTTTTAAACCTTTTTAATTGAAATTTAATTTTTTTAACTTTTATTTAGTAAATATAAATTTCCAAAGTACAGCTTATGGATTACAATGGCTCCCCCCCTCCATAATTTCCCTCCCACTCGCACCCCTCCCATCTCCTGCTCCCTCTCCCATTCCATTCACATCAAGATTCATTTTTTTAAAAATTTTTTTTGACAGGCAGAGTGGACAGTGAGAGAGAGAGACAGAGAGAAAGGTCTTCCTTTGCCGTTGGTTCACCCTCCAATGGCCGCCACTGCCGGCGCACCGGGCTGATCCGATGGCAGGAGCAAGGTACTTCTCCTGGTCTCCCATGGGATGCAGGGCCCAAGCACTTGGGCCATCCTCCACTGCACTCCCTGGCCACAGCAGAGAGCTGGCCTGGAAGAGGAGCAACTGGGACAGAATCCGGCGCCCCGACCGGGACTAGAACCCGGTGTGCTGGCCCCGCAAGGCAGAGAATTACCCTAGTGAGCCGTGTTGCCGGCAAGATTCATTTTCAATTCTCTTTATATACAGAAGATTGATTTAGTATATATTAAGTAAAGATCTCATCAGTTTGCACCCACACAGAAACACAAAGTGAAAAATACTGTTTCAGTACTAGTTATAGCATTACTTCACATTGGACAACACATTAAGGACAGATCCCACATGAGAAGTAAGTACACAGTGACTCCTGTTGTTGACTTAACAATTTGACACTCTTGTTTATGGCGTCAGTAATCTCCCTAGGCTCTAGTCATGAGTTGCCAAAGCTATGGAAGCCTTTTGAGTTCACCGACTTCAATCTTATTCCGACAGGGTCATAGTCAAAGTGGAAGTTCTCTCCTCCCTTCAGAGAAAGGTACCTCCTTCTTTGATGGCCCCATTCTTTTCACTGGGATCTCACTTGCAGAGATCTTTCATTTAGGTCTTCTTTTTTTTCTTTTTTTCCAGAGTGTCTTGGCTTTCCGTGCCTAAAATACTCTCATGGGCTCTTCAGCCAGATCCAAATGCCTTAAGGGCTGATTCTGAGGCCAGAGCGCTATTCAGGACATCTGCCATTCTGCTGTGTATCCCGCTTCCCATGATGGATCGTTCTCTCCCTTTTTGATTCTATCAGTTGTTATTGGCAGACACTAGTCTTGTTTGTGTGATCCCTTTGATTCTTAGACCTATCAGTGTGATCAATTGTGAACTGCAATTGATCACTTGGACCAGTGAGATGGCATTGGTACATGCCACCTTGATGGGATTGTATTGGAATCCCTTGGCACATTTCTAACTCCACCATTTGGGGCAAGTTCGATTGAGCATGTCCCAAATTGTATATCTCCTCCCTCTCTTATTCCCACTCTTATATTTAACAGGGATCACTTTTCAGTTAAAATTTAAACACCTAAGAATAATTGTGTGTTAATTACAGAGTTCAATAAATAGTACTAGAACAAAAAAATACTAAAAGGGATAAAGTATTACATTGTACATCAACAGTCAGGACAAGGGCTGATCAAGTCACTGTTTCTCATAGTGTCCATTTCATTTGCAACAAGATGGAGGAATCTGGAAAACATTATGCTGAGTGAATTAAGCCAGTCCCTTTTGGGACAAATATCATATGTTCTCCCTGATCGGCAACAACTAACTGAGCACCAAAGGGGAAACCTGTTGAAGTGAAATGGACACTATGAGAAAAACATTTTATATTTTCATCATTAAGAATTCACACACATACACAACTTATATGTCTATATATACATATACACACACGACAATACTAACAAATGTGGTAAAATGGAATTAAAAGATAAATTTATTGTGGAACAAAGAATTCAAGTTGACCTAGTTACAATAATTTATGTGGAACACAAATCATTTTTACTGTTTTACTTCCAGCTTGCCTTCTAACTTAATTTTAAACACCTCTATAGTTGAGAAAATATCTCCATTCCAAACAAGAGCACTTAAGACTAGGATGGGCCAGCGCTGTGGCGTAGTGTGTAAAGCTGTCCCCGGTAGTGCAGGCATCCCATATGGGCGCCGGTTCGAGTCCTGGCTGCTCCAATTCCAATCCAGCTCTGTGCTATAACCTGGGAAAGCAGTAAAAGATGGCCCAAGTTCTTGGAATCCTGCACCAGCATGGGAGACCCAAAGGAAGCTCTTGGCTCTTGGCTTCAGATCTGCGCTGCTCTGGACGTTGCAGCCAATTGGGGAGTGAACCAGCAGATGGAAGACTCTCTCTCTCTCTCTCTCTCTCTCTCTCTCTCTCTGCCTCTCCTTCTCTCTGTGTATAACTCTGACTTTCAAATAAATAAATAGATAAATAAATATATCTTAAACAAAAAAAAAGACTAGTAAATCCTTTCACTAGTTTGAAATAACTGCTGGATGGAGGTTCTGCTTGATCTTGTACATTTGCATCTAACAGAATAGACTAGAATTTAGAGTTCTCTCTCATGGATTTCTTTAATCTGTTCAGATCTGGGAGAAGCAGGAATTCTTTCCTAAAATAGGACAAATTCCTTAAGGACAATCTTACTAATGTGCAGGGCAAAGTAGATGCTCAATGGATGCATGGATGTAGAAATAAATGAGATAGTGCGACACAGTGATTAAGAGCTGAGGCTCTGGAGTTAGATTCAAGATGAGATCCTACCTGATTGCTTACTATCTATGTGAGTTGGACAAGTTATAAACCTCACGGACAGATGTCAAAGAGCATTTGTTAACTCTGTGATGTAATTGGGTGTGCATACACGATTTCAGGCTTGCATGGGTGGAGAGAAGATCTGCAAAACCTGCACATCTACTGCATTTGCCCACTCCACTGTTGGAGAAAGGAAACCGTGCATTGGCCGCTTTGTCCTAGGCTGATCACCTCAGATGTGAGGGCTGTATGGTCAGGAAGGTAACTTAAAACAGCATAAGGTGTGCTCCGGGAGACAGAGTATGAAGAGCCGATACATCAGAGGTTCCTGTTCTTCTGAAACTGACTTTATTCTTTCTGTTCAACTGTCCTTTGAATGGTCTTGGCTACCCATTTTGGTGTCCAACTAATTTTATACTCAATGTTGGAAGAGAACATTGTTGCGTAATAGTTCCCGTCCATGAAGGTTCTGAAGGTTGTCTCAACCAATGTCTCTTGTGGGGTTTTATCAGTGTTCTCTTCATAGTGCTGTTGTGAGAAACAACCGGGATGATGGAGCGAATGTGTGAGCTATTTTGATTGGTTAGACAATTTAATGAGTGAAAGAAGAGAAGGGAAAAGGGATAGGGAAGCAAGAAACAATTGGAAAATGGAACGAAAGAAGAAAGGGAAAGAGGAATGAAACAATGTATTTCTAGATGTAAGGTTATTGAACCAGTGGGTAATGTATTTAAAATGTTTTAAATGTACAAATTTTACTTCCAAATACTGTACGTATTTCCACTTCCAGCACAAATGGTAAATGATACACTCTCTTTCTCCTGACTATGGCTACTAATGGCCATTAATAATATTTTCTTATCAAAAATGTCAAAAAATTTGATTTGAAAGGGTATTTATTTTTCATGATTAATGAATATTTATAATTTCAACTATTATATCTTAATTTCTTATTTATTAATAATAGCTCCTTATATATTAAGTGCAGAAAATACTTTGTATATATAAGTAAGCTCCAAAACCATTCATGGAAAACAGATTTAAAAGATAAGCTAATTTGTTGTGAAAAATTGAAATCCATTCATATGAGTGTTCTTCAAGAAGTTCATGACCAGTAGGCATTATGAAAAAAGCCATGGGTGGACTTAAAAAGTTCGCACCAATATGAATTTATTTTTAATTCTATCTTCCATGAACTTTTTAAAGTATTCTTGTAGTATATGTCACAGCTTATACCAAAATTGTCAATTGCATAGTTTGTTTTAATGCATGCTTTAGTATGAATAAGTTCTAAGTTTTTAGTGCAGTTTAATCTGTAAAGTTTTCCCTTATTGTCTTAACATAGTGTATCAGTTTATTATCACCATGATACTTAGAAATGTCACTTTTATTATATAATGACATTTAGGTAATATTTTCCATTGGAAAATGTTGATATTCCATTGACTTATTGTTTGTCCTACTGCTAATAGCAGATTCACTTACTTAGTGTAGTTTATTGATGAATCAAATTTATGCTAACACACTAGTAAGAAAAATTGGCTGATAACATGGGAAGAATGAGAATAAAGGGAAGAGAACTCAATGTGAAGAGGACTATTGGACTTAGGTAATGGACACTGAAAGTTAATTAAATACCACTGTTCTCTGCTTTTGAAGATGTTCTCAAATGTTCATAGTTATAAGGTAATAGTCCTTCCCCCACCCCCTACCGCACCCCATAGCATGGTGTGACATGTTAAGCCAATCCTTTTAATGCCAGTTTC